CTCCATCCAAGTGTCCCAGAGGCAAGGGCCCAGGGCTGAGTGATGCATACCCAGAACTCGTCCTTGGAAGTCAGGCAGGGTAGGATGCTGGCTGAAAGCCAGTGCTGTCTTGCTTACAGCCTTAGGCCTAGGGTAGCAGCAGCTGTGGCCTAGCCTCTCCCAATGCTAGGGGCTTGGCCTTGTGCCCCAACCCCCTTCCTGACTGAGCTCTGTAGAAGACTCTTTAAAAAAAAAGAAAAAAAAGTGCTTTGAAAAAAGGGGGAACACCCTATTCCTGCTACAAGGGTAGAGGGAGCAGGTGGAAGTAGCTGGGTGCCCATAGGGTAAGCTGGCACAGCCTTCATCCCTGTCTCCTTAAGGAATGTCTTCCATTCCTTAGACACTTGTCTAAGGAATGGAAGGATACTCCAGGATCCCTACAGAAGTATGCCAAGGGTCATGCTGAGCTGCCCTGGCAGTGGCTTTGGGTGCTGAGGGGTAAACATGCAAGACACAGGGCCACAGCTGGGAGGGTCTCAAAGCCTGGCCTTTCTGTTCAGCTTGGCCTTTGGCTCTGAGCTCTTTCAGGATTCTAAAAGCATATGAAGGTGATATCCTTGTTTCTACCTGAGTTGTGCTTGCACAGGGGGAACATCTGTACCCCTGTGGACATAAGGGGAGGCCTTACATCTGCCTCCTGTGTCTTATGGATGGGGTGCGCACCACATCCTTTCCACCCCTCCCTCCCAGGCCCTTGGGCCCAGCTCTGGCCAGGAAAGTGGGGAGGCCATAAAGGAGGAAGACCATGCCTTTCATTTTCTCCCTATGTCCTTATCGTCCATACATCCCAAATATGAGGAAGCTGAAGAAGACTGTGACACCCACCAGGGAGACAGTAGCAGGTGCTGTGAAAAACTGACGGTAATTGATCCGGAAGTACCAGACAACACCCAGAAGCACTACAAACACGGGCACCATGAGACTGCCCACACTGATGCCAAGGCTGGGTGGCTCAGTGGCCGAGGGTGCCAGAGAAGTTGAGGGGCCTGTACCAGGTGCCCCTGGGGGTGAACGGTGGCAGTGAATCACACAGTTGTCAGTAATGTTCAGAGAACGCAGTGTGCGTGCTGGATCTTGTAGCAGGCGGCCCTGGTAGATCAATTTCATTTGGCTCTCCTGTCCAGGGAAATATTTGCTGAAAGGATGAAAAAGAGAGGCTGAGGCATAACAGAGCAAACAGGCCTGGACCAACAAAGGTGGGCAAAGGGAAAAACTGATGAGTAGATTTCTAAGGAAGTCTCCTCTCCACCCTTGGTAGGGGCCAAATTTTATGACCCCTTGCTGCCCTCAATTCTGCACCAGTCTCCTCAGAGGAGGCAAAGCCTTGGAACATGGGACATGAGCAGCTTCCCACTTTTCAACCCACTCACCTCTTCAGGGCACCCACGGTGTCCTCTGGCCTGGCCACAGCCAGCTCCTCAGTATCATTGAGGAACTTGAGCCGCACGTTGATGAGGCTGGGGCTGGGAGAAAGGCAGGTGCTATCCTCAGATCTCAGCAGGGCTTCTGGACTGCTGTTCTCTGTGCCCACTTGTCTTTTGGATAGGCCTTGGATGTCAAGGAGATGCTCAAGACTGGACTCCACACCACCCCCAGCAACAGGTTCCCCTGTGGAGTCTCCTCCACCTTCGCCAGTCTCTTCAGTCTTCTCATCATTACCCTCTGATGGATGGGGAAGTTCGGTAGGCTCTGAGGTGTTTTGGCCTGCCACCAGCTGGTCCACATGCCCTAGGTGAAGGACGGATGTGTCGCCTGCTGACACAATAGTGCCCAGGAGCTGGTTGCTACCGCTGTCTGCTACGTAGGTAGAGAGCCAAGCTAGGACCAAGGCTAGAATCAGCACCACCACACCTGCCACCACCATCACCTCATTACCCACACCCTCAATGAGGGTGACATCAGGGAGCTCCATGGCCTGGCTGCTGACTGGGTCCACACTGCAGGAACAAAGGGGAATAGCATCAGCAGAGCCAGAGGGGTTGCAATAAGGCTCCTAGTTTAAGTTTTGAACTAAGCCAGTCCTGAAAATAAGTGGAGTTCAGTATTCTGGGGTGGGGTGGGGGGGGGACGACAAACCTACACAGGAATCACATGTATTTCATTTGGTACTCTAGACTTCCAACCTCAAGCTAAGGACTTGGCCTTGGGCGCTATTAGAAAACTAGCTCACAGATGTCATGCCCACAATTTGCAGATCATCAGCCTTCTCATCATTACCCTATGAGGAAAGCCTCATAACCTTACTGCTGTGTCTATTACAACTGCTTTTTTTCTTTTGGTCGTTGATGGGTAAAACATTTGCTTCTTTGAACTTGGAGTTTCTCTAGGATTTCTAACACTTAGTCAAGCAAATATGCCCCTTAAACAGCCTCCAACTTGACTGCTGAGAGAGAGACTTTTAAAAAGCCTGAAATACTTTATTTTGGAGCTCCTCTGGAGGTGTTATACAGTCACCCTTGTTGGACTGTCTCATATGAGCCCCATCTCTTTCATTGTCACAGTTCATACCCAAATATCAGGGGCCAAAGAAAACTAATCTACTGTCAACAGAAGAGTTAGATTACCCTAAAGGGTCAATTCTTTAGGAGCCATAAGCAAACAGTAACTCTGCCTCCTCTCAAATTCTCTAGCAGGCCCAGGGGAAATCGTATGGGACAAACACCGGAAACACTACCCTTCTGGGTCACTGAGGGCTCACAACTGCAAAAACCGCTGTCTACATGCAACTGATTTGGAAATGATTCCACAACAGCTCTCACTATCACTAACTCAAGTCTCTCATATTGTGAAGGTTCTCACTCTGCAGTTTCTTACTGCATGGTCCTTGGAATACCTATTTCTTCCCTTGGAGAATCTGTTTTCACAGCTGTCCCTGGGCAAATCCATCTGACCATTATCATTATCAGACTATTCTCACAGCACCTATAAAATTTCATTATACTTACCTACCGGTCCATTTATTAGACTTCTAGAATATAAGGCTCACATGTATTTCTCTTTGTAATTAAGAGCCCAGCATAATGCAACCGTAGTTACTTCAAAAATAGTTGTGGAACATATCAACATCTGAAGAGTTTACACATCCTGACTTAATAGACTGACCCTGAAGTCAGAAAACAAAATGAAACTATAATCTTGTCTCTTACTGGCCATGTAACCTCGATCATCTTTCCCAGAGACTTAGCCTTCTCATCAGTAAAATGGGTTAAAAATAGTACCTACCTCATAAGGTTGTTTTGAAGATGACGTGAAATCATTGAAGCAAAATAATCAGCACAGTGCCTGGCACATTGCAAATGTTCAATAAACAAATGGTAGGAATTATATATCACTCCCACAACTAACCCCCGACAGTAAGAAGGTTAATGCCATTAACCGTGGTTTACAGAAAAGGAAACTGCGGCGGAGAGGGACGAGAAGGACTGGCACAGACACAGGGAACTGTCGTGGGGAAGGGCCGGGTAGGACCCCAAGTCTCCTGCCTCGGAGGCCTTTGCTTTCTCCTCAGCCTGTGAGCGACCCTGACCACGGTAAGGAGGGGTCCCGGACCCTGCCTTTTCTGAGGCAAAGACTCCGCGTCTGGGCGGTCTTATTTTCGCGGCAATGGAGTGAAGTCCATGAGCCCCTGAAGCCAAAGGGCTACCGGGTCCAGGCCGCAGAGCTCAAGCCCAGATCTTTCAGTCGATGATGGAGAGGGGGGTCACAAACCATCCACACCCCTCAAACTTCGGGGCGGGGCTGGGGAACTAGGGGCGGGGCTTGAGGGCGCGGGGAGTCATGGGAAATTAAAAGGAACTTGGACTGGTACTATACTTGGATAGGAAGAAGGTCCTCACCTGAAAAGTCCAGGCTAAATGTTTTGACTTCGCCAGGACAACCCCTGGACTCGTCTTCCCGTTCGGCCGGGGGAGGGGCGGGCAATCCTCGATTTTGCTCAGGGTCCGGTCTCTTCCGGCCTTTCCCGGAAGCTGTTAGAACTAGGGACAGGAAGTCCCTCCTCCGCGCCTTGCACTGATGACGCAAAGCTACGTAAGGCGTGTTCTTTAAATAAGGGACAGGTTTCTCAGAGGAAAGAGGGGCGGAGTCATTGTTGGCGGGATCGTGGCCCTCCCCACATGGCACGCCTGGTGGGCGGGGCCTTAGGCTGTCGGGAAAAGAGGCAGTGCCAAGAGGGGAGGAGTGAGTTGAGGGAGGTGTTTGAGAAGGGGCGTGGTTTCCCTTCTAGAAGGTTTGCTCTGGTTGGCGCTACTGGGTAAATCCTTTAAAGAAGTTTCCCGCTTCCGGGCTGATGGGATTCATTACTGTTCTGCAATGTGCCCCAAATTCTAGGATAGTGGGATCAATTAGGTCTCGTCTTTCTGATCTCCAAGAATTCCTCTATGAGTCGGAGCACGCCAGCTGCTTGGAAAGCTGGTAGAAGGGTCGCAAATTTGAGGACAATCTGAGCAACTCAGAGAGACCCTGTCTCAGAATAAAAAAGGAAAGGGTCGGAGATGTAATTCAGTAGTAGAGCGCCCTCAGCTCTGGATTAGTCAGGAAAACATACAAGGAGACAAGTTATTTGTCATCCAGTGCATGAAGAGTGCAGTCCAGATAGTGTGGAACCTTGATAATTTCGGTAAAGCATTTCAAAGACAAAGGTTCAGCGCAGTCTTAGGGCCCAAGAAAAGCAGGAACCAAAAAAAGAAAAAAATTCAACTTATAAGAATTTTTCCAATTTATTTTTTTTTCTAAAGATATGCTGAGGGATTTTGTTTTATGATGGATTATTTTTCCTTTTCTTTTCTTTCTTTTTTTTTTTTTTTTGTGGTCCCGAGGATTGATCGTTGGGGTGCTTAACCATTGGGCAACACCACCAACCCTTTGTTTGTTTTTGGTACTAGGGATTGAAACCGGGAACACTTAAACACTGAGACACATCCCCAGCCCTTTTTAAATATTTTATTTAGAGACAGGGTCTAGCTAATTTGCTGAGGCTGGCTTTGAACTTGCGATTTTTTAATATGATAATTACTCATAATGTAAAATTTACGATTTTAGCTGAAAGTGTATCTCCGTGGTAGAGTGCATTCCTAGCATGATTGAGGCCCCTGAAAAAAATTTTTTTTCATCCCAGCACTGGAAATTTTTTTTTTAACATGTATACATGTAGAGTTAAAACTTTTTAACATGTACACTTCAGAGGCATTGAATACATCCACAACATTATGCACCCATCACGACTACTGTCCATTTTCTGCACCTATTAAATAGTAACTCCCCATTCCTCCTCTTTCTCTAGTCTGGTTTTTATCTGTAAATTTGCCTATTCGATTTTGCTTACTTAAGTGAAATCATGTAATATTTGTTCTCCCCCAACCCCGTTTTTTTTTTTTTTAATATTTATTTTTTAGTTTTCAGCAGACACAACATCTTTGTTTGTATGTGGTGCTGAGGATCGAACCCGGGCCGCACGCATGCCAGGTGAGTGCGATACCGCTTGAGCCACATCCCCAGCCTCTTTTTGAGATGAGATCTGCTTTGTTGCCCAGGCTGCCTTTGAATCTCTTTCCTCATCCATCCAAGTAGTAGCAGGGATTATAAGCATATGCCACAAGCATATGCCACTGTGTCCATCAAGTTCATTGCTTTCTAAGATTAAATAATATTCCACTGACTGTATATACCATATTTAGTTTATCTATTCATCTGCTCGTGGACATTTGGGTCGTTTCTACCTTTTGGCTATAGTGAATCATACTATTATGAACATTATTATACAAGTATCTGAGCTTTTTTTTTTTTTTTCCTCCGCCATACTGGGAACAGAACTCAGGAGTGTTCTACTACTGAGCTATGTCCCCATGCCTTTTAATTTTTTATTTTGAGACGGGGTCTCACTAAATTGCCATGGGTGGCCTCAAACTTGTGATCCTCTTGCCTCAACCTTCCAAATTGCAGGGTTTATGAGGTGTGTGCTACCACACCTGGCTTGTATCTGTTTGAGTCCCTGCTTTCACTTCTTTGGTCTGGCTTTTTTTTTTTTTTTTTTCTCCTCCTAGTGGTGAGGATTGTAACCAGGGGCTTGGACTTGCTAAGCAAGTACTGTACCAATGAGCTGCACTCTGAGCCTTTCTTAAAATTTTGAGACAGGGTCTTACTAAGTTGATAGAGATGGCCTTGAACTTGCCAGCCTCTTTTCTTAGTCCGGAATTGCTGTGTACCACAATGACCTGCTGTTAAGGTCTTTGATACATGGTGTCACATTGTCCTCTGGGGAAATATATATCTAATTCCCTTATTCCCAGCTATGTGTTGAGGTACCCCTAAAGTTCCCTTCCCCAAAGATATAAGGTAGAGTCTAGAGAGGAACAGACTAGATGGGGGAGGTTTTAAGAGATGAGAGAATCCTAAGGATGTTTATATGCCAAGGAGGAGGAGCAGAGAAGGGAAAAAATGAAGAGAAAGGCAATTTGAGAAGGGAATAATTACTGAGTAGTGTTCTCTGGAAGTAGAGAAGGGTCCAGCAGGTGATTGGGCTTGCCCTGGGCAGGAGGTGGGGTATCTGGTCTCCCCAGGGCACTGGGCACCTGACCCATTCATTTGGGTGGATTTAGATAAACACACACTATGTTCTTCCCCTCCCCCCACTACATGGACTGACATCTGCCATAACATTACACTATATTTGTCATTTTTCATTATTGTGTCTTACCAAATTGCCTCCCCCCACCAAATCTATTTCAGATTACTTGATACAGATTTTCCCCCAGTACTGAACCCAGGATGTTGCACTACTAAGCAAGTGGTCTACCACTGTGCTACATCCTCAGCCCACTGATAAAGACTTATTAAGTGAATGATGGTTAGATTCAGCAAAGTTGTGGGAAGAGGTGGGGAACTTGAGAGACTTCTGTCATCTACTGGCCAGAGGCAATGTCTCAAGATAGACTTGGCAGTGAGGTGAAATAGATGGAAAGAAGAAGGAAAGACTTGTTAGGGCTGGAGACATACTCAGAATGCCAGCACCTGGGATGAAGGGTTGGAAAAGTGAACAAAGCTGACAAGTTGATAGAGATGGCCTTGAACTTGCCAGCCTCCTTTTTCAGTCCAGAGTGTGAGAGTTTGAGGAGTGTGTCCAGCAAAAGAAGAAGAGGTAGCTGACTTAAAGGTGTCTTGAAAGAGGAGATTTTAGGGTTGGGTTTTTGGGGTGGAGAAATTGCAAGAGGAAAGCAAGAAAAGAAAGAAGTAGGCTTCTTTATATATAAATATAACAATTCTATATATAAACATGTTTCTATTTCCTCTATATAAATATAACAATTATATTTAAAACTAAGCTTTTTGTTTTTGTTTCATTATCAGGGATTGAACCCAGGGGTGCTTAACCACTGAGACACATCCAGAACCCTTTTAATCTTTTGAGACAGGGTCTCACTGAGTTGCTTAGGGCCTCATTAAGTTGCTGAGTCTGCCATGTGACCAGCGCTGGCTTCATGAGTAAATGCTAGGGAGTTTTAAATTAAGGAGATGAGACTCTTATTGCCTTTAACACCAGCTCGTAGATGGCTTCTCCTAGCTCCCACCTCCAGCCACCTAATGCTGTAGCGGGGTTTACAGAAGAGACTAGTGAGAGAGAGAGAACACGCTAGGGAGTGGGCTTTTATTGGGGAACCAAAAATTCCAGGGAAAAATCCCATCCAGTGAAGGTTAAGGGGGGCAGCATCCCAAGGTCAGGGGTGACGATTGGGTCTTCGGGGCAGTGGCCAGGCATGCCTCTGCAAGGACAAGCCCTCAGACCTAGAGAGGGTGGGGAATAGCTCTGACACAGCTGTGTCTAAGCGCCTCTCACCCAGCCAGGGAGGTAACTCAAATCATGTGCGAGGATGGCCTCCCACAGCTGAGGCTGGCTTTGAACTTGTGATTCTCCTGCCTCAGACTCCTAAGCCAAGGGGATTACAGGCATACACCACCGTGCCCAGTTTGACAGACTATTTTAACGGATCCTTGGACATTTTAATGAGATGTTATTTTTATTAACTATTGAACTTAAGCATTTTTATGCCTTTATGTACAATTATAATAGCTATCGAATGGTGAATATATCTCTAAATCCTGCCTTAAATGCTTTTAGTGAATGCATTTTATTAAAAAATAGGACTGAGAATGGATATAGGTCAATAGTAGAGCATTTGCGTAGCATGTGTGAGGCCCTGAGTTCAATCCTCAGCCCCACAAAAAAAGAAAAAGAAAAAATATATACAGAGAAATGTATATGAGTGTGTGTATAACTTCAGAAGAATTCATAGATATCCATTTTAAAAAAAACAAAACTCAAATACCACAATAAAAAAATCCATCAGGTCAGTCCCTCTCCCTCTCCCCTCTCTAAAGGGGAATTCTTGGTCACCAAACTTCCAGGGTTTTTTTCTATTTTATTCTCATAGAGTTTCGTTTTGTTTGCTGTACATATCATATTCCAGACTGTTTTTGTCTCCTTAACAACAGTCTTGGAAATCTTTCCAAAGCAATACACATGCTGGTCAGTTGGAATTCTTTCCCAGTTCTATCTTGCTATGACTACTACCTTTTGTAAAGGCTAAATTGTATTCCATAGTATGGTACCCACATTGGGTTGCTCAAGCAATGCTGAGATGACTATTGTGGTAATTGCTCACCTTTTATGTAAATGGGGAGCAGTGTTTACAGATACTGCCAAATTGCTGGCCAGAGAAGTAACAGGATTTGCAAGAATCCATTTCTCCATCTCTTGTTATCATTATTATTTTTTTGGGGGGGGGGCGTATACTGGGGATTGAACCCAGGGGCACTTATCCACTGAGCCACATCTCCAGCCCTTTTTATTTTTTATTTTGAGATGGGGTCTCGCTAAGTTGCTGAGGCTGGCTTTGAACTTGTGATCCTCCTGCCTCAGTTTCCTAAGTCACTGGGATTACAGATGTGCACCAAAAAGCCCTGCTCATTTTTAATTTTTTCCAGTACTAGGGATTTAACCCAGGGCCTGGGGAATACTAAGCAAACACTCTACCACTGAGCTTCATCCACCCCTTTATTTCTTCATCTCTTCACCGGCACTGCATACTACCAATCTTTAAATTTTTTTCCAAACCAGTGAGGGAATGATAATGTTTTATTTGAATCTGTATTTCCCTGGTTGCTGGTGAGGTAAAGCATCATAATTCATTTATTGACAGGTATGTGAGTGTCTACTCTCTGAAAGGCACTGAGTCAGCAATGGTGGATAAACTGGGTACAGTTAGCTCATGCCTATAATCCCAGCCAATTGGGGAAGATGAGGCAGGAGGATTGCACCTTTGAGGCTAACCTCAGCAACTTAGCAAAACACTTTTTTTAATATTATTGTAATTTTTATACCTTTATTATTTACTTCTTATGTGGTGCTGAGGCTTGAACCCAGTGCCTCACATATGCTAGGCAAATCCTTTGTCACTGAGCTATAACCACAGCCCTGAAGACCCTGTCTTAAAACAAAAAGTAAAAAGAACTGGGGATGTAGCTCATTGGTAAAGTGCCTCTGGGTTCAATCCCCAGGATCTCCTTCCGCACCAAAAAAAAGTGGTCCTTCCTGCTCTCACTAATTGAAGAAATGAAGAATTAATGAAATAATACATCTTTATACATGTATCTTTAAAAACAAACAGGTTATCTTGTAGTTGTAATAGAAAAAGGGACTGGGGCTGGGGCTCAGTGGTGGAGCGCTTGCCTTGCAAGTGTGAGGCACTGGGTTCAATCCTCAGCACCACAAAAAAAATATATTGTGTCCAACTTAAAAAAAAAATAAGTATTAGAAGAGGCTGGACTGGCTGGGGTCTGTCTGCTATAACAGGAAAGTTTAACATCTGAGTCTCCCATCCAGGGCCCAGGACTAGGGACATTTCCTTTTCTTCTGTTAGGCCTTTTTGGCTCTGTGAAACTAAAACAAAACTTCCATCCAGAAAGGAGAGGTTGCTGCTCTGCTTAACCATGTCAAAGACTGTCTTGTGTTAGTGAAAGGGAATCCCTGCAGACACAACTCCCTGGAGAAGGGAAAGCTCAACAGGCTGCCAGAGGCAGACCCAGGGCTCCTGATCTCTGTTGCAGCCACCACTGCTGCCAGACTCCAAATGGCAATGGGAGAGCCCAGGATCCCTCAGCTGAAGGACAGGAGCTCAGGCTTCTGGGCGACCCTCTGTTCCCTCCTGTGGTGGCTGCCATCTGCTGATCTGTGAGGGACCTTGTGTTCTATAATGTTTTCCTATTACCAGTACTAGTAGCTCAGGGCAGAAAACTTGGAAGCCACAAAAGAGCAGAGTGGGAAAATAAACAGTGATGGGACCTTAGTCACATTGAAACCTAACAAAGTCCATGCTTTTGTTCTATGCACAGATCATTTCTTTGTATTCACAAAAACTGGCTTGCCTTGAAAAGCTCCCTCCTAAAGGTAAGTGTACTTTTGACTCTGGGATCAGAAGTGACAGGGGGAACAGCTGGTCCTCCCGTCATGGGCCCTCAGAGATTATTTTGTAGTGACTGCTATTTAAGATACCATGTGTTACTTGGGGGTGGGGAGGCCACATCATAAATGTCCTAGGCTTTATACATTTACTGAAATGCCTGTTTAAGGAACAGAGCTCTAGTCTCAGCCTAGTGGAGGCAGATACTGGTACTTAATGAATAAGTACTAAGCCAGGGAAGGCTACAGCTGGGATGGTCAAAGGAAGGCCCTGAACTGACTCTTGAGGATCTATCTGAACTGAGTCTTGAGGATCAAATCAGCCTTGACTAGGCCAAAAAAAAATGTATATCAAGCAGAGGGAACCACACAGGCAAACTCCTGAAAGCAAAGAAGAGCCGGTCATATCCAGCAATTGGTAACTAGTTTACTAAGGTTGGATTCCAGGAATTTGGGACAAGAAGGGGAGTCTGGAAGCCAGAAAACATACAGAGGCCAATGTCTAGAGACTTCATTTTGTTGAGGTCTTTTTGTTTTTTTGTTTTTGCAGTACTAGGGATAGAACCCAGGGCCTTGCACATTCTAAGCAAGTGCTCTACCACTGAGCTACACCCCAAGGACCTCTTTTGTTGAGTTTTGATTTTGCCTGAAGGTAGAGAGAGCCACTACTGGAATGGTCAGAGGTGTGACTCAAAGATTATTTCAGCATCCATTCAAGGCATGGGTTTCAAGACCCGCCTTGAGGTGACAAAGGCAGGTTGGGTGGGAACAGGGCAGGCAGAGGCAAGATCTTGTCACTCTTTAAGAGGCAGAACAGGTATATGGGTGGCAGGAGAGAGAGGCACCAAGGACACCACAGTAGATAGAAGAGCCATCCAATCATGCCCAGGCAGGGGAGGTGAACATTCCTTGAGTCTGGGAACAGGCTGAGTACAGATCTTCCCCTGGGGAAAGGGTCTGAAGCTCTGGATGGCTGATGGTCATCAGGTGGCTCAAGAAGCTAGTGGAGGGATGAGCTGGTCCAGGAGGGCGTGTGAAGCACAAAGATGAGAGCCAGCAATCATTTCCTTAGGGTTGAGGACAGGGACAGATAGAAGGGGCAGGACAGCCGTCGCAGTGGCCTGTCATGGAGCTCACTGGATGTGTCCCTCCACACGAAGCAGCAGGTAGTCTCGGAGAAGTGGGGGCAGTGGGAGCTGAGTGGCAGCCTGCCGACAGCGACTACCCAACTGGGCTCGCACAGCCAGTCGGGCCAGGTGCTGCAGCCGCCGCGGCTGGTTTACCATACATAGGGCCGAGCTGTAGAAGGCTTCATGCTCCTAGGCCAGGAAGGAAAGAGGGTTAGTTGGCTCAGCTCCCTTGACTCTGCCCTTCCATCTGGGGCAACCTAGCAGTGAGGTGCTGGGCTTCTACAACCTGCATCTACTTGGTATATCTGGAAGGACTTGGATTCATAGGTGAGAGGCCCTGGCATGGTAGGGGAGCTGGGGCTCTCTACACCTCAGGGCAGGGTCTCAGCCATGTTGGTGAGCAAGGCTGGGCAGGTGTGTAAAACCAGAGGTCAGCCTGTACTGCAAGAGTTGGGAGGCCAGGGGTTTCACTCTGCCCATCCTCTTCTGCAGAGGGCTTTCCTGCGCCTCCCTCCAAAAGCTGGTCCCTGAGAGACAAGCATGTGGCTCATCCTTTCTCGCCATCCCCTCAGGGAGGAGCTCTGCCCTTGGGGTGGACATACCTGCCACAGCTCAGGAAGCACTGCCTCCACCCAAGTATCACAGGATGGGATGCAAGGATAGGCATTAAGCAGAACTTCCAGAGCCCGAGGAAAGTTGGCACAATGTTTCAGCATCTAGGAATCAAAAGAGGGTCTTAGGGGCTCCTTGCCTCCCCCATCCAAGGGCAGATCCAAGCTCAGCCTAATCCAAATCCCCACTCACACCCTTGTTTGGGGAACTAAGATCTGAGTTTCTCATCCTTCATCATGCTTCTGTTTCCCCAGCCTCAAGAGTGGTCCAACCTCTTGGCTAGAGTTTCCTTCAATGCTTGGACACTGCACCCCCAACGCTCTCTCCACTCCCAAGATGGGGAGGAACTTCTGGCCACTGAAGGTGGCCTTTCTAGTCTCTTGGAACACCCTCTTCCCCAGAGGCAGCTGGGGAAGAGAGTGTTCCAAGTGCTGCAACTCAGCCCCAAAACCCTCATCCCAGCCTCCTTCCTCAGCCTCCCCCACTCACCTCAGGGCACACAGGCTGGGCCCCATAGTCCAGCAGCACTGAAAAGAGGACCTCGGGTTCCCAGTTGGGGGCATCCTGCACAGCCTGCAGAGCGCAGTCCATGGGTGTGTGGCCCGCTCCGTTGGGGAGCCAAGCGCAGGCTCCATATCGCAGCAGCAGCTCAGCCAGGGCCCCGCAGCCGTTGGCACAGGCGTTGTGCAGTGGTGTGTGGCGCTTACGCCCAGCTGCCCGGGGGTCAGCCCCGGCCTCTAGGAGGTGCCGTGCCGCAGCCTCATGCTGTCGGCTGCTGCCTGGGCCCTCAGCTCCAGCGCAGGCTGCGTTCAACGCTGTCTCCCCCTGGCTGGTGCGCAGGCCCACTTTGGCACCGTTCTGTAGGTAAAGAACCACGTGCGCCTCCAGGCCGCGCGCTGCCGCCACGTGCAGGGGCGTCACCTCGCTCTCCTTGGCTGCTGAGTTCACGGTTGCTCCTGCCTCCAGCAGCAGCTTGGCACACCTGGAAACAGGAATGCAAGGGCCCAAGGTCAGGACTGAGAGCAACCCCCTTCCTTCCCACCCCTCTACTTCGAGGTACATACAGCCTCATGTTCTCCAGATCACAAAAGCCCCATGACAGACACCAGAGATGGAAGGCCCCATCAGAGCTACCAGAAGCATCTTAATTTTCACATGAAAAAATTAAGGTCTTGCACAGCAGCTAAGGACACATAAATTAGTGGCTGCACCAGAATTTGTACTCCCTCCTTGATTTCATCCTTACTCTTCATTAAAATGGGACCCCAAGGCCTGAGCTTAGATCATTTGCCCGTGGTCTAACATTATGATAGCACAAGATTTTGAAAACCCATTCCTATGTGCAGTATGAAACAAATTTTAAAGCACATGAGGCATAACAATAAATAAATAGAAATCTTAATATTATCTCCCTGCCCCCAAATTTGAAGACCATTCTTCTAGACCAAGCCAGGTTCATTTGGGCAAAGAAAGGTACTTGGGCACCTCCCTACTCAACTTTCCCCCTAGACAAAACAAAATTAAACAAAAAGCATTTTAAAGAGTACATGTTTCACAGTCTCCAAGATCCTGGAAAAATTATTGGCCCGAACACCACTGCTGCAAACATGCATTATTACCCACCGTGGACAAAACCAAACATGCAACAAACTAATAATGATGAAACTAAACTAAGAGTCATTTATAATTAAAAAGCCAGAATGGGGGCTGGGGTTGTGGCTCAGCATTAGAGGGCTGGCACAGCATGTGTGAGGCTCTGGGTTCAATCCTCAGCACCACATAAAAATAAATAAATAAAATAAAGGTATTGTTTCTAACTACAACTAAAATAAATAAATAAATAAAGCCAGAATGGCAGTTGCTGGAAAGCTAAAAGCAGATTCATCAACCCCAGTGAAACCCTAATAATCAGGTATCCTTTCCCCAGATGGCTAGGATGCCAAGTTCAATAGGTGTTTTTCTCAGTGTCCAAAAGTCAAGTAGCAACCAGTTTTCCAAGAACTTCTGAACTCATTTCCTCAGCGAATTCTAATCATGGGCTAATTTTTGTTTCTAAATACTTAATTTAGCAGCTGGACATGGTGGCACGTGCCTGTAATCCCAAGCAGCTCAGGAGGCTAAGGCAAGAGGATCTTTAGTTCAAGAATAGCCTCAGCAACTTAGTAAGGCCCTAAGCAAATTAGTGAGACCCTGTCTCTAAATAAAATATATAAAAGGGCTGGGGATGTGACTCAGTGGTAAAGTGCCCCTGCTTTCAATCCCTGGTACTAAAAAAAAAAAAAAAAATTAAAGAGTCAGGCATGGTGGCACATGCCTATAATCCCAGTGGCTCAAGAAGTTGAGGCAGGAGGATCCCAGGTTCGAAGCCAGCCTCAGCAATTTAACAAGACGTAAGCAACCTAGTGAGACCCTGTCTCAAAATAAAAAATAGAGGGCTAGGAATGTGGCTCAATGGTTAAGCGCCCCTGGGTTCAATACCTGATATCAAAAAAATAAATACTTAAATTTAAGTAACACGTAAAATTTCATTCAATAGGCTTCCAGAAAGTGGCCATTTTCACTTTGCATAAAAGGATAAGTCTGTTGGGAAGTGCTTGTTCCCAGCCACATCAGACACACCTATAAAAACCTAAGAAAGAGTTGGCAAATTTGGATCACTTCCCGGTCCACCACTGGCCTAGATCTAGCAGGGAGAGAGATCCCCAGCATGTGGGCTGTGCAATGTCTTGAATCATTACCTGCTAGCCCAGTCTGTTGACTTGACTTGTAAAAGGGCAAATATCATGTAAAAGGGGTCAACCACTGTTGACCTTAAAAAAGGAAGGAAAAGAAAAGAAGAGGGACTGATGGTGAGGCTGGGAAACATGGCTAGATGTTTCCTGGTGCCTTTCTTGATCTGGCTATAGAGGATTCACAGGGAATCTGAAACTAGGATTGGAACAGGGGTTTTCCCAAAAGAAACAAGGCTTCTGCCTCCTGAGTTTAACACATGTGATATTGGACAAGACACTAAATCTTTCTGAGCCTCAATTTCCTCATTCATAGACTGAGGCCTGTCTGCAGGTTGTTATGAAGATGTATATGGCAGTGGCTCACGCTGGCAACCCCAGTACTCAGGAGACTAAGGCAAGGGATCCTAAGTTTGAGGTCAGACTGGGCAACTTAGCAAGACCCTATCTCAAAAAAAAGGGGGTGGTTTGGGGTTTGTAGCTCAGTGGCAGAATGCTTTGGGAACCACAAAGCTGTGTTTGGATGTCAAGTTCTTCTTGTCTTGGCCATGCAAGCTAAAGACACAAATGCACACACACACTCCTGCCCAAATCATCCCCACCCATGGGCACTTACTGCAAGGACTCAGGGGTTGTGCAGAAGTGCAAGGGGTTAGTACCCTCCTCTGACAGCACGTTAGCCTTGGCACCGAAGGTCAACAGCAGCCGCACACAGTCAGTCTGGGCTCTGGCACAGGCCTCGTGCAAGGCAGCCCGGCCTCCAACACGGGCATCCACCTCTGCCCCCTGCAGGATCAGGTGGCGGGCGCAATCCGTGTATCCTCTGGCTGCAGTGATGGTGAGGGGTGCTGTCTGCTTGGTCTTGGGTGTCAGTACCCAGAACCCTAAGAACAAGTAGAATTGGTGGACTGGGTAAGAGGGTGGGAAGGGCAAGGTTGGGGATACTGGCTTGTAGCTGACAGTTAAGGTTGGTCTCCCCCTGCAGAGTCCACTAAACACACGCACTGTCCCAAGCTGTATCTGTGGAAAGGAACTCAAGGCCTGAATTGGAAGTATAAATTAGAACAGCTTTTTAGAATGATTTCTCAGTCTGTAAGAAAACATAATATGTATCACAGAAAAGAATAATTGCTATAAAATCACAACAGCCTTAGGGCTGGGGTTATGGCTCAGCGGTAGAGCGCTCACCTCACACGTGTGAGGTCCTGGGTTCGATCCTCAGCACCACATATAAATAAATAGTTATTGGGTTCAAATACAAAAATAAATATTTTTTTAAAAAATCACAAACGCCAGTTAAGGAAACCTCAGGGTCTTTGAGCTGCTAATGGATTTGGTGGCTCTTTTTGTTCACCTCTGACTTTGTGGTATAGTTATGCACAGGTGGGCCTGGGCCTGAGCCTAGGAAAGGCCAAAGAACAGAAATGAATTGTAGGATACTCCTGGACAGAGAGAATTGGGTGGAAGTAGGGGGAAGGATGAAGGGGAAGGATTAGAGGTGGAATGGAGAAAAAAAAGGATTGAGGAAAGGGGAATGATCATGTGACTGGTGTTAGATTCAAAAGGTGGAAATAGTCCAGGACTTATTTAAAAGGCATTGATACTTAATAGGTTATTTGCATGCTAGCAAAGTAAGTCCTTGGTTTCTCCAAATCTTTGGTAAAGCATGTTTTGCTTTTTATTAGGATTGAAATTAAGGCTAGGCCCCATCCAGGGAATGAGCTGCAGGATAAGACCAGGATGCCCTGGGTGAGGTCACAGTCTCACTATCACGGTCAGACAGAATTTCCAGCATAGAGTGACTGTGACTCATCTGGATCTGTAAGCTCTCCCCAGGATTTTGAAGGCCCCAATCCAAGGATGGGGTTTGAGGCAATCTTCTGCCAATCTTCATTGTAGTCTCACTTGAGGTATTCGGTTGATATGAACAAATCTGCAGGCCATAATACATCCTAGAAAAATATTTTGGCAAGTACATAAAGATGTTCATCACACTGCTATTTAAAATAGTTAAGGGAGCATGAGGCCCTGAGTTCAACAAAAAAATTAAATTAAAAGAAAAGTTAACGGGTGACTGGGGATGTACCTCAGTGGTAGAGTGCTTACCTAGCATGCCTGCATTTGAACCCCAGCACCACAAGAAATAAATAACTAAAAGTTTTAAAAAGCTTCTTTTTATGGGGAGGGGTACTAAGGGTTGAACCTGGGGAGCTTTATCACTGAACTGCCTCCCTATTTCTTTTGTAATTTTTCATTTTTAGACAGGGTCTCTCTAAGTTGCTGAGGGTTTTGTTAAGTTGCTAGGACTGGCCCTGAACTTTCGATCTTTATGCCTCAGCCTCTCAAATCACTGGGATTACAGGTGTGCACCACTGTGCCTGACTTAAAGATACTTATAAAAAAACAAACAAAAAAAACCTAATCTACCCACTGTATCTGGGGGCTTGTTATATAAATCATGGTGTACACCTGCATAGAATTTATGCACCTATTTAAAATATTTTATAGACTTATGGTTATTGGCATGGAAAGATGTTACATGAAAAAAAAATCAGGTTATCAAATTGCATGTGAGGTGGGGGTGTAGTCCAGTGATAGAATGCATGCTTAGCATGCAAAAGGCCTTGGGTTCAAACCTCAGCACCAAAAAATAAAATAAAATTTTAATGTGGGATGTAATTTTATTCTTTTTTTTAATTTTTTTTTTTTAGTTGTAAATGGACACAATACCTTTATTTTATTTTATGTGGTGCCGAGGATCAAACCCAGTGCCTCACGCATGCTAGGCAATGATCTACCACTGAGCCACAATCCTGGCCCCTCATTCTCTTTTTTTTTCCTCTTAGTTGTCAATGGACACAATACCTTTATTTTATTTTGTGTGGCGCTGAGGGCTGAACCCAGTGCCTCACTCGTGTGAAGCGAGCACATTACCACTAAGCTATAATCTGAGCCCTGTAATTTTATTCTATGAAAGAAAAAAAATTCAAATGTGTGGGAGATATGTCTATTCAATTATCAATATAAAATTTACACAATCTGAATATAATATTCTTAGAGATTATAACTTTTGGGCTGGGGTTGTGGTTCAGAGGTAGAGCACTTGCCTAGCATGTGTGAGGCACTGGGTTTGATCCTTAGCACCACATATAAATAAATGAATAAAATAAAGGTCCATCAACAACTAAATATATATATATATATATATATTTTTTTTTTTAATAACTTTTAATTCTGAAAAGATACATAAACCACCACTTCGGATAGGTGGTGGCAAGGGATGGTCTAGTTTTGGGTGTGCAGGTAGAGGATGAACCTAGACTCTCCCCCTCCCCTCCCCCACCCCTCTTTGTTCTCCCTCCTCCCTGACCTCTCCCTGGTGCTCCTTACCCTGTTCTGCTGACCAGGCCAGCTGGTTGCTCACAGTCTCCACAATCATATTGGCAGCCTCTTCATCTTGGAACAGAGCTTGAACCTGCTGTAGGTCACCAGAGAAGAGAGCATTGTGGACAGCTGGGTCCCTGCAGGAGCGGCGAGGCCTTGTGAGTCGGGCCTGGAAACTTGAGGGGCACCTGTGGCTGCGGCACTGCTGGGCAGCTGCACGTCGCCGATCCTCCCATTCCAGCCACTCCCGCTGCAGGCGGAGAGCACGCAGCGTAGAGGAGGTGAAGGGGAAGGTCTCCCCTGCCATGCGGAGGGGCCCAGGAGACTGGGCAGTGGCACCTGGGCAGATCCTTGTTCCTCAGCGGGACTACCACCCTTGTTCTGGAGAATCAGCCGGTCTCCTGCCCCTCCCCGGTGAGCAGGGAGAAGAGCAGCTGAGACTATAAATAGGCTCTTCACTACTCTGGTAAACAGTTTGCCAAGAATCATGATCCTGGTGCAGAGATGGTGCTGGGCCAGTTCCTGCCCCATTTGATTGGTCAGCAGGTCCTCAACTGAGGCTACCTCAGGACTCCAGGACCGCATCCTCCTACATCTCTAGTGTGTCTCGGTTGGCAAGGTCCAAGGTGAGTGAAGTAGGCAGCCATGGGATGGGATGGGATGGGATGGGATGGGAAGGGCAGGGCCAGGCCGAAGGAAGGTGATACAGCCTCTGTGACGTTTACTAGAGGGCAGGAGCCCAGGTTGACCCATAGGGAGGAGAGAGGGCAGATCTCAGCACAGGAAGTAAGGGGAGGTTGGGACTGATAACTGAGAAGATGAACAGCTCTTCCTGGCACCTAGAGTAATAGCAATCACTGCATGTGGTGTGAACCTTTACAATTTAAGTCATGTTCATATCCATCCTCATTTGGGTGACCAGGTAAATAATACAGTAATACAAAACAGGTTTTGACAGTAAATGATATGGTTAGGCTAATTATCAATTGAACTCCCAAGTTGGGAGGTCTTAGCTCTGTTTTAAGATTTAAGGCTGGGGGCTGGGGATGTGGCTCAGCTGTAGAGTGCTTGTCTCGCATGCGCGGGACCCTGGGTTCGATCCTTAGCACCATGTAAAAAATAATTGAGTGAAATAAAGGTATTGTGTCCAACTATAAAAAAAAAATATTTAAAAAAAAACAAGATTTAAGGCTTAACAAGGAAAATCACTAGCTCATGGTCACATGGCTTGAGGGCCAGAGCCAAGACCCCATCATGGGCCTGATGCCATTGACAGTGCATTTTGGCCCCAGCTGCTGTGACCACATGTAGTGAAGTCAGTTCTGTAAGCCTCCCCACTCCCTGAGCGGGATAGTGTGGTCTTTGGTCTCCACAGACTACCCTCAATGATTACTGTCCCTCCAGCTCCTAAGGGGATGCACATGTGTGCCTGATGGGGCAAGGGATTGACCTTGAAACTCTGGGGACTGAACTAAAGAGATCTTCAAGCTGCAAAACTGTTCACTCTGAAGAGAAGGCAGCTCTGCCTCCAGGAGCCTCTAGGGGGAGGAATGAGACCGTGAAACCACCCCAGCTGGTGTGACTGAAATGCTGTGGAAGGGGAGGACAGAGGACACCACCCACCGCCCACTGAAGTTCTTCTAACTCCAGAATTGGCAGGATGAGGCTGGGCTGATGTCTGCCCCACAGTGCAGTGCGCTCTTGATGCTCCTCCCTGCCCTTGCCCTGCCATAACCTCTGCATGGGTATCTTTCACTTTGTCCTCTCCCTGGTCCCTGCACACAGACTAATTCTAACTCCTGTTCTCACATTCTCAGTCACTGTCAAGTTCAGGCTCTCAAAGCCTTAAAGCAGGATCAGCCCAACTTCTGATTGGTGTTCCTACCTCTGGTCACACCTACCTCTATTTCCCTGCCAGAATGATCTAAAATGGCAATTCACTTGCTTAAAAACTAAAATTTATGCCAGGTGTGGTGGCACACGCCCATAATCCCAGCAGCTCTGGAGGCTGAGGCAGGAGGATTGTGAGTTCAAAGCCAGTAAAAGCAAGGCACTAAGCAATTCAGTGAGACCCTGTCTGCAAATAAGATACAAAATAGGGCTGGGAATGTGGCTCAGTGATTGAGTATCCCTAAATTCAACCCTCAGTACCTCCCTCAAAAAACAACAACAACAAAAAAACCTAATGACTTCTAGCATTAGAATGTTGTCACTGCCCTCTCTAGCTAAGCCCCAGTTCCTTGGGATGGTCCCATGACATTAGCATTCTCCTCAAGGCTCCTCCCTCCTCCCTGCCATTCCCTGCTTAAGCTCATGCCGTTGTATACTAACTCCTCCAAGCCCACTTCCAAGATCACCTGCTCTGGGGAGATGTCTCTACAGCAACCCCAGGTGCTCCAGCCTATAGTTCCAGCTACTCCCCAATCTGTGCTTCTAAAGAACTCCGGGCAGGCTTTGCAAGCACCTATCCCATGCTGTAGACATTACTCTACCATGCTGCATGGGGCTCCAGGGCACACAGTCAGTCTGGATGTGGTGTCTAGGAGCACTTGGCTCAAGGCAGGCCAGACTCTTAATGTGTAGTGCATTGAATGGAGGCCCCTACTCTCTGCCAGAGCAAACACTCATCCGCCCACCCAAGTGGGTGGCAGCAGCTTGGGCTTTTTCTGGCACTGCCCTGGCCCTCTGTTCACTCACTCTCTGCCTGGCCCCAGCATCTTGGTAGCATTCCAGGGTGGGGGATCCCAGAAGAGGAATGAGGTCATGCACAGTGAGGGCTTGGAGATCCTCAGAGAAAGGCTCCTCTATAGATGAAGCTGTGATTAACCCTATTGGAACCCATTCAGTGTTTTATTTGTCCCGCCAACGGCCAGGCTGAGCACCTACAGCTGGGTTCCCAGGGTTGGGAGTCTGGCAAGGCCAGCTGGGGCCAAGAGGGGCCCAGGTGGTAGGCGTCCCCTTTCCCCCTAAGGCACACAACAGTTCCAACCCAGCCTCTTTTCCTGCCTTCATGCCACACAAGCATGAAGGTGCTGACTACAGCTCTGTCCCTTAGAGATCCTGTGTGTGGGTCTCCTTGTACTTAGCATTAGCTTGCTGAAGGCAGAGAAAGAAAGCCTTTGCTTCAGCCTGCCCATGGTCCCACAGGAGCCCAGAAGTGCTGGAGGAAACAGTGCCAGGAGATTCGATGCCCAGCCTGGCTTCTGAGAGCTCAGAGCCTGAAGCACACAAGAAACCAGGACATGCAGTAGTTTGGGATGAGTCGAGGCTGAGCAGTGGGGTCCAGGACTCCACTCCAAGTGTCTGGAGTGAGGGACTATAGGTCAGGGTGCTGGGTGGTCTAGCTACCATGGGATAGATGGGCTCTGTCCCAGATCTAAGCTACAGAGGTTAAAGCTGTGAACTGTGGGCGGAAGAAATGCATGGTATGTTCAAGTAGGAAGACCAAATGGGAACGTGAAGGGGAAAGAGTGCTGGGAAATTAGCCCTCTCCTGCCAGGCCTAGGAGCACAAAAGCCTTCTGGAACAGGGCCCGCTTCAATCAACAGTCAACTGAACATGGAGTTTTCAAGGTGCTTGTTCACTTCTGCCTCTATAGGATCCACTGCTCTCTGGGAAAAGGAGATTAATACCTCCTCCCAGAGCAGTGCAGAGCCCAGGTCCATGGGAGGCCCCTGGCTGAGGCAGGGGAGGCTGGTGTCAACTGGGCTCTTTAACCTGCCCTTGCTTGTCCAGGAGTTGGGAGAGTTTTCCTCTCTGCCCTTCATCCCGGAAAGGAAAACAATGTTTGGTAACTTGAATAATTAATCCTTTTATGCCACACCCATGCCATTGTCAACTCCTGTCTGAAAGGTGGTATTGAGAAGCTCCAGCAATGAGGAGTTACTTGGCAAAGAAATAAAGTACTATTTGATTAGAACCCAAAGTATGAAATAAATTCCTGAGTCCATACTGATATAAATGAGGGAGAACAGACAAATTTCCTGTGCAGAAGAATTCAAAATAATATATGTAGCTCTTCTACCTTTAAAGAGGTGGAACAGAACTCCCCCCGCTGAAGTGTGTACTGTGCAGGGCGACTTCTAGCACAACAGGAAGGAGAAGGGAAAAGAGCCACTCAGCAGCGCAGAAGCCTGAACCTTACCCCAGCCAGGTGACCCAGGGCCACACAAACCCTGACAAGATGTTGAGGGAATGGCACCTTACCTCTTTCTTCCTCCCCAAAACCTATATAACCCCAGTCCAATCATGAGAAAAACATCAAACAAATCCTAACAGAGGGCATCCTACACTATGCCCAGCCAGTGCTTCTCAGAACCGTTGAAGTTGTCTAAACAAGGAAAGTCTGAGAAACTGCCACCAATAAGAGAAGCCTAAAGAGACAGTAAAATTAAATGTAATGTGGGATTCTGGATTGGACCCTGAAACTGTGGAAGGACATGAGGGGAAACTGAGTAAATCTGAAAAAAGTATGAAGTGAGTTAGTGATAATGTACTGATATCGGTTCATTCATTATGATAAATGTACCATATTAATGTCAGAGGTGAATAATAGGGGGAAACTGGATATAGAGTATACGGAAACTTGCTGAACTATTTTTATAGTAAATCTGTAAGTCTAAAATTTTCTAAAAGAAAAGGTGTTAAAACACACACACACACACACACACACACACACACACACACACACACACACACAGAACCAGAGTTGCTTGGCTCTGCCTAAGGCTTCTTATTTCAGAACTAGGTACAAAAGCCCACATGGCTGCCCCTGCACCTGGGAATCTTGTCTTTGTCGTGGTACAGTCCTTCTTAGCACCTCAGCTTCCCTGGGACTGGGGAGTAAAGGGACAAGCAAACTAGGTCTAACATTCTCTCAAGTTCAGCTGAAATGAAAAGATGACACAACTTTCCTATTGGTGACCAAAGGAATGGAGGGCCAGAAGGCTTGAAAACAGGAAGGCTAAGAGCCAGTCCTTGGCTGAGGTCTGGGATGGCAATGCCAAGGACGTCTCAAAGCCGCAGCAGTGCAGAATCCGAGACGAGGGACTTTTCAGGTGCAGCGTCCAGGGTAGGAGCACCACAGAAGCCCAAGCTTTGGCAAGTTTCCAGTCATGTGGGCCTTCTTTCCCTTGGATGTGACCAGACATACCCAGAGCCTTGCCTGGGAGCTGAGAGGCTGCTTGCTTATGGTGGGTACCCTGCCTTGGGGCAGTCCCAACTCCTGGTCCCACAGAAGAAGTCCTCAGGGAGCTCACTCAGAAGTCCATCCAAGTCATCTGCAGGGGTAAGGAAGGCAGCCTCAGTGACAACATTAAGGTTCTGCTTGCCTGGGGTCTAAAGTACCTGCCCTTCAGGAGGGACAGGGCCTGGCCAGACGGAGAGGTAGCTCCCCCCAGTCAGTGGTGCCCATGCCAGTGGGCCTGAGACTGACCCGACTTCCATCTCCTTCCGCTCCCCAAGTACACGTGCACAGCAAAAGGCAGGACATAATGCCTGGGCTGTTCTGATAAGAAAGGGAGTCCCCCTGGGCTCAGTGGTTCCTCCCCTTTCATTGAGAGGCACAGCACCAAGCAGGAAGGCTTCTGAGGTCCCCTATGTAATTCTCTCATTGGATAGCAGAAGGAAGATGCAAAAGCCACTGGATATGTTCAAAATCACAAAGCTCATTCATTAATCTGGTATCTCTTCTAATGGTTGGAGAGAGCATCACACCCTTCCCCAAAATTCCTGAGTGGGAGTAGGGAATGAAAGTAACCATTCCTGCCAGGTAAAGTGGCACATACCTGTAATCTCAGTTACCTGGGAGGCTAAGTCAGGAGGATCATAAATTCAAGACCATAAATTCAGCAACTTAGTGAGACCCCATCTCAAAATAAAAAATAGAGATGGGGTTGTAACCTAGTGGTAAAGAGCCTTTGGGTTCAATTCCTTGTATCATACAATTAAAAAATTGTTACCGAACCACAGTTCTCAGATAATGTATGCTTAAGTCCAAGAATCTGGAAACAGAGCCAACCTTGTAATCCTCTCCTCACCACCACCCCCCCCTTTTTTTTTTTTTTAAGATATTGGGGATTGAACCCAGAGGCTCTTTACCACTGAGTTACATTCTTTTTACTTTTGGAGACAAGTTCAAGTTCTTACTAAGTTGCTCAGGCTGTTCTCACTCTTGCAATCCTCCTGACTCAGCCTCCTGAGTAACTGGGATTCCAGGCATGCAGTAATCTTTTTTTTTTTTTTTTGGTATCCGGGATTAAACTCGGGGCACTCAACCACTAAGCCACATCCCCAGCCCTATTTTATATTTTATTTAGAGACAGGGTCTCACTGAGTTGCTTAGTGCCTTGCCACTGCTGAGGAGACTTTGAACTTGCAATCCTCCTGCCTCAGCTTCCCAAACTGCTGGGATTACAGGTGTGCACCTCCACGCCCAGCTTGCAGTAATCTTTATTGACCTTCTTTTTGTTAATAAGAGCAGCTAATAACTTACTGAGTACTTTCTCTGTGTATCAGTAACCTTTCATAGGGCATCTCATGGTGGTTCTGTGATAAACCCCACTTCACCTGAGAGAACAGGATATAAAGAGGTAAAACAAGTTTCCCAAGGTAAGCATACTCTGCTTCCAAGTGATACCAGAACCACTATTGGCAATCCTTCCTGAGTAGGATCAGGAAGCCCTAGGAGTTAAGTCAGACTGTTCGTATACTACACCAAGAACCTAGTTCCAAGTCTAGCAAGAGCACTCAATGCACACTGCTGCTGTGTATTAAAGGAAGTAGTTAGTTTGGGAAGCATTCAAAATTTAATTAAGGTGATTAGCACTGTACTTAGTGATTGCTAATGCAGAGCGATTCCTTATTTATTTTGGTACTAGGGATTGAACTCAGGGATGCTTTACCACTGAGCTTCATCCCCAGTCCTTTTTCTTTTCTTTTTTTTTTTTTAAAGAGAGAGTGAGAGAGGAGAGAGAGAGAGAGAGAGAGAGAATTTTTTTTTAACATTTATTTTTTAGTTCTTGGCGGACACAACATCTTTGTTGGTATGTGGTGCTGAGGATCGAACCCGGGCCGCACGCATGCCAGGCGAGCGTGCTACCGCTTGAGCCACATCCCCAGCCCCCCTTTTTCTTTTTTGAGACAAGGTCTTCCAAAGTGCTAAGGGTCTCACTAAGTTGCTGAGGCTAGATTTGAACCTGTGATCCTCCTCTCTCTCAGCCTCATGAGTCACTGAGATAACAGGCATATGCCATCACACCTGGCAAACAACATTCTTATGATGATTGGGCTTATGATCAAGCTTACTTATAAAGAGAGAGCAAAAGATTCCAGACAATGCAAGAGCCCAGCATAGGGAGATATTCTTTCACAGATGGGTTTTAGTCCATCCATTGGCATACTGTGAATTGTTAATGTGAGATAACTACCCATAATCCCATGAACTTTGGGCTCAGACAGGACTGAATTTCTGGAATCAAAAAGCTAAGGAAGCACCAGGCTCGGTGGCACACGCCTGTAATCTCAGCAGCAGGGAAGGCTGAGGCAGGAGAATTGCAAGTTTAAAGCCAGCCTCAACAAAAAGCAAGGTGCTAAACAACTCAGGGAGACCCTGTCTCTAAATAAAATACAAAATAGGGCTAGGGATGTGGCTCAGTGGTCAAGTGCCCCTGAGTTCAATTTCCAATACCTAAAAAAAAAAAAGCCTAAGGAAGCAACTCGGGACTCTGTTTCACTGGCTGATGTAGCCTCCTGGGGCCTGCCCACAACATCTGGGCCTCTCGGTTTTGTATCCTGGGCCCCCACGTAAGTACGGAGATGTGGTTTCTCAGCACCCTTTAGTGGGCCTTTGAGCTTAGTCAGAATGGGGAAATCTGCCTCTATGGTCTGGTCATCAGCCCACAGAGGAATCAAAATGTGGCACAAAGATAGTGTCTGTCTATCTGGACAGAAGATGGTAGTGTATCCTGAGGTGAAAAGCACAGGGCCTGGAGGCAGGGGAGACATGTGGATCACACTTTACATGGCCCCATCACACTGTCAACTAGTTTGTGGACTGTAGCCTTGACAAACGAGATACCATATTTGATTTCTATAAAATTATGCAAGGTCCAGAGACTCATAGGAGAAGGAACAAAATGTAACCAGGAGGATTTTGGCCCAGTTATGCTAGAGCAAAGGATTTTCCTGATCCTGACGAGCTGACTCTCTTACCTGTTTCTGGAAGTTCTTCCTCAGGGGACACCCCTGCCACTGGATTCTGTTCTGTTCTGAGATCTTCCCTGGGCTTTGTGGCCACATCATGCTGGAGGTCATCATGGAAGCTTCCTGGATCCTGGGGACAGAGGAGCTCGTCACCAATACCCATGACCCTGAAATCCCTCCAGATGGTACCACCTCTACCCAGATGACCTTAAAGGGCCTGGTGGGGGCTTAGGAAAGAAACATAATGGAGGAATATGGTAGAGGCTGGGGTCACCCATGCCCAGGCTAGGGGAGGGAGTTAAAAAACCAAACATCCAAACCAGCAGACAATTAAAACAAAACAAACCATTAGGGGTGAGTTTCTTTTCTAATTTTGTTGATATCTAGTGTTCTAGGGAATCTATATAAGTGGAGCAGTGAGTAAAGAGGCCATTCAGAAATATGTTGAAGAGTTAGCCTGAGATTAAATATGAGCTGTTAATAATCTCCAAACTAGCTAGTATATGGACAGGTAATTAAAACTGGCACTTAAATTGTTAACTATGGTTAGCCCTAGGGGATGAAAAGTGGAAGAAGATGAGTTTCATTCTTTGCTTTTCTATGCCATAACAATGAGTATGGATGATTAGAAATTTAAAAGAAAAATAAGGATTATTTTTAGAAGTAGGGTGATTTTAAGAGAATGTGAGGGACTTGTGGCTCAGCAGTAGAGTGCTCGCCTAGCATGTGCGAGGCGCTGGGTTTGATCTTCAGCACCACATAAAAATAAATAAAGGTATTGTGTCCATCTTCAACTAAAAATAAAAATGTGGAGGTGTTAAGGGGAAAAAATAAAGGAACTATAAGTAGAAAAATTAGAGCTAATGGCTTAAGTGGACTAGATGTTATCAAGTCTAACACTCTTGTACTGTAGATGAAGCAATGGCAGGGTAGGAGAAAGGACTTGCCCAAGGTCACAGCGGAAACTATCAGCAGAACTGGGACAAGACTCAAGCCTCCCGCCCTATTGGGCCAGGATCCCAAGAAGGGTGCAGACAACTAAACAAGCCTAGCTCTGCACTCTCACCTTGGAGTGGAGCTGCCTAGAAAGCCATCACCTCAGAGACAGTGAAGCTACCTCGGTTCCTAGAGGAGCGCTCCCAGTGCTTTGGGTAGTTTCTGCCTGACTCAGCAAAGGCAAAGGCCGGAGGGAAGGCAGAGCAAGAGCTAGTCACCTGAAGGTCCACTGTGGCTTGCTGTTCTTTGCAGATACCCGCCCCACAGCAGATCTGACCCTTAGTCATTTTCTGTCACCACCTCTGGTGAGCCCTCACCTTGGTTAGTTCTGAAATGACTGCTATCCTCTCAGATGTTCAAGCCTGCCATCAGACACTCAGGGATCACCAAGAAGCCAACTGTGCCTCTAGGTACTATTACTAACCTGTCCAGCAGGTGGCTAGACCAGGAACAGGAGGAGATAGTTCTGTCCCCAAATGTATCTTTTTGCCTCAGGGCAAGTGTCCCCTTCACAACTCTGCTTCTCAGGGGGGAGGAGAAAAGAACCGAGAAGATCCAGGCAGAAGGAACCCTCTGTGAGTTCATCCATCCTGCTCCTCTTACCTTGGAGAAAGGCTGAGATGGCTTGAGGTTCCCGTCCCCAGAATCTGGGCTGTATATATGGACCAGGTTGTTGGGTGTCACGTTGAGATAGTGATTTCGGAGTGAAGGAGAAAACACTCCAATCTGGAATTGAGGAAGAGGAAGGTCGGTGACCTGATGGAGAACTGGGTGCTGCCAGATGGCCACCTGGTACTCGCCTGCTGCCTGTTAAGGGTTCTCTGCATCAGCATCACACAAATCACTCCTGTCCCGGCCTTGGTACCAAGTAGAACCCTTACCACACCTTTCCCCTCAACCCTCCATATCCATCCATCTCCAAGGAACAGGAGCAGCTCAAGGGCCTCAGGCCTGCCCTCAACTTTAGCAAGCCAGGGCCTACCAATAGTCCAGTCCCTCCTTGCTTGGGCATAAGGAGGGAAGGCAGCCAGCCAGGAAAGAACACAGGAAACCTGAGGGTTCTCTCCAGGGTAGGAGGGGTGGAGGGCTGGCCGCCACTTAGAGCTCCCATACCTGCTTCAGCAACAGCACTGAGCCAGGCTTCAGTTCATTCTGGCGTGTCTCCAGCAGTACCCTGTGCACAGTCCCTTGCATTTCTCCTGCAAATACCATATGGCCCATCAGTCTCAGGATCAAGGGCAATACAGCAACTGGTTTGAGTCCTGGCTGGCAAGTGGGGTTCTCATTGCCTCAATGTTTCTGCCTGCAAATGGAGGGAGTGATTTCTCCTCCTCTCTTGACCTCAACCGAGGCTACAACAAGACATTCCCAGAACCTAACTCCTTACCTGTAGGGTCCTTGAAAACCACACTGGCGTCCATTGTACTCCGAGTCAGGGATTTGATCATCACTGCCATGTTGGGGACCTTGTTCCTGGGGAGCTGCTTCAAGGCTGCCTACTTACAGAGAGAGGCATTCACAGAGCTGATCAGGGCTCACCTGCACCTTCCCAAGTCCCCAAGTGTGCTGGAGGTAACCAGGGACTGGTGATGCTCTTCTGTCATGGAGGGCAAAGGGGGCAATTGGAAGGGCATATCTTATCTTCTCTGGCAGGCCTGAAGCTGGCAGCCCTTCATGTCTCTCCCCTGCCTCCTTTCTTTTGTGTACATGTATTTATATAGCACTCCATCATGGTGGACATGGGAAAGGATATAGCATATACATGTACTAACATGTATCTCCACGTGGCCCTTGATGGCTGGGGAGCTCTGAGGGTAGCATTGTGCTTAACTCCATCCAGTGCCTAGAAGTACAGAGGCATACTCAGAGCCTGCTCTCCTTGTGCCCAATACTGTGGATGATAGGGAATAGGCAGGCCAGCGAAGGTACAACCAAAGGAAATTCACTCATGCTGCTCCTCAGGGATAGGCCTGGGGTAACAGGAAGCAGATAACCCCCTCTTACGGTGGACTAGGGCAATAGATTGTTGAAAGGGAGAAAAATGGTCTTCTCATTGGGTCTCAGTGCTCAGAGTCCTTACCTTCCGCAGTACCATGATGATGCTATAGGTACAAAGGAAGCAGGTTGGGTCTCTCTCATCCAGGCCCAGAGAAGATTTCATGGTCAGCCAGGGCCCTCGCTCAAAATCCTCCTCCACTGATGACTGGGAACTAACAACAACCTGGTATAGAGTAGAGTAGGAGCCTGCGTTAATAGGTTTCTCTTCCTACAGACGCTTGACTGAGACAGGATGAATGGTGGGAGACAAAGGGTAAGTCTCTAGGAAAGACCGTAGCATGGTAGAAACAGTCTCCCAATTATCTCCAAGGTCAGAAAATATTATGTGAAATCTTGCTGCATATCACATTTTTCACTAAGCAGCTATAACAAAGGTGTTTTGTTTTTTTTTTAAAATCAGATCTTGACTTTAATTACATTGAAGCAATAGATTAACCATGCTTGTCTCTTGTGGTACTAATTTGGGGTAGAGATCCCCCACATATGTATATAGGATTCCAGGAGTGTCTTTGCCATTCTGAATTCTGTAATCTTATTTTGTCTCTGGCTTTAACTATTAGCCTTATTATATTAATAACTGATTTTAATTCAGATGACTATTGCCTGGTTTGGATCTGAAATGGACTGGCAAATCTGGGGAACTGCAGCAAAGAGAAGAAATACTTCAGAGAATTAAAAGCAAAAGTGGGCCCAGGGGTAGAGTAGGCCAACAAGAACTCCAGAGAGGAGAAAAGCTGGTCTCACACATCAAGAGAGACCCCCTTGGAGGCAAGATGAAGGCAGATTCTCCCCTGCACAGTTCCCAGAAACCTCAGAGAAAAGGTTCCCAAAGCACAGTCTCATAATATGTATTACACTCTCCTTCCCTGAGGGAAGATGGAGCTAGCTGGGCCTTTATTTCTTAGATAGGAAAGAAGGCCAGACCCATGGCATTGGTTAATGGCTGGCTGGCATCAGGACAGGCCTTATTTTATGCCAGTAAAATCACCACCTCCCCCAGCTGCCTTCTCAGCAGCACTTTAATTCCCAACTCCCCCAATATGCAGGGACACTCCCCACTCTCAAATGATGCCCAGGAAGTTAACATTTACATGGAATAAGTTACCTCTGTCCGGAATTTAGCCAGAGCACCATGAGCTGGAGTCTGGGGTGTGGAAACCATGATTTCCTCCAGATTCTTCCCACTATGCTAAGAGGAGAGAGAGAAGAGAAGGTGAGAGCAAGCTCAGCAGCTGTTATTTACAAGTACAGCGTCTTGTCTGGATTACATAATGAGTTCAGGAAACTATCAGGGACAATTAACACATATTACATCTCCTAACGCAGTCTCAAGAGCCTTACTAGCAGCTCAAAAAAGACACTTTGGGGATCGTTTTGGGAATGTGAGGAAGCTGGAGCTGGCTCAGGAGCAAAACCCAGGGCTGCCTGAAGGGGGCAGTGACCCACATAGAGGGGCCAGTGAGGAGTTAAGGGACAATTTTCCCCAGGTCCCTTCTCAGGAACCTAACCCTTTCCTCTAGGGAGATCCAGCCCAGAAGGAAAACGGACAGCCTCCCTGGATTTCTCTTGAAGTGCTGTGGAAGAGAAAGTTACAAGCAGAAACTGTTTCAAAACACCCAAGGAAAGGAGCTGGGTACAGTGGCACAGGCCTGTAATCCCAGTGACTCAGGTAGGAGGATCGAGAGTTCAAAGCCAGCCTCAGCTACTTAGTGAGACCCTAAAGCAATTCAGTGAGACCCTATCTACTGCTTAAATCCAAACTTTCAGCAGAGGTGTCTTCCCTTCAGCCCTGACTTCCTCATATTGACCCCATGCAACAGCCACGGTTACCTGTTCTGTGGATCTCTGAGAGCACTTGCTTTTGGGCATCTGTGCTTTGCACTGGCTCCTCCCTCTTCCCTCCTTCTGTCTTCCCGCACTGGACTGTCCTCAGCACAGCCCCTCCCCCATACCTCTTTACCTCCTTCTCATCAACCCAAAGCCATCCATCAAGCCCAAGGTAAGCTGTGTCTCCCCAGCAGCCAGGGAATGACTCTTACACTGGGCTCTTTGTGCCTAATCATTTGTACACTGTAAGCTCCTTAGGACAGAAATTGTTCCCCTTTATTTTTTTTTTAAACATTTATTTTTTAGTTGTACACAATACCTTTATTTGTTTATTTATTTTTTATGTGGTACTGGGGATTGAACCCAGGGTCTTGCACGAGCTAGGCAAGTGCTGTAGCACTGAGCCACAACCCAGCCCCCTCTTTAATCTTTGTATTTTCAGTTCAAAGCAAATTACCCAATATCTACTCCTCATCAAATATGAGCAAATGAACCTCCCTGCCCTGGTAGTAGGAAAACAAACATGAAAACCAGGAAATTCCCAGAGCCTTATGCACACCTCTTCCCTGGGTGAATTTTCTAGCATTTTTCCTTCCCACTTCTTTTTCTGCCTGGAACCTGGGCCTCACAACTGCTAGGCAAGCGCTCTGCCACTGAGCTACAACAGGCCCCTTCCCACTTTTTTTGACTTCTTCCACAATTTTGCAAATGCTGCCTATCTTCACCTCCTTCCTCTTCAGGAGAAAGATGTTCTAGGGTTGGATAGGGGACAGTGCTGGACTATTGCTTTTCTCCTTTATCTCTGCTCTTAGAGAACCAGGTCACTCACCTGGTGAGGTAGGAGTCCTGCTGGGCCAGGGAAGCGGCGCATTTTGGCTCGGGTGGAGGGGCGAGTAGGCTTCTGGGGAGTCCGGTTGGCAGCAGTGACCAGCTGCACCAGGTGGTTGGTGACTATGGGGGTCTGCAGAGCTGCCTGGGGAACCTTTTGGGAGGAATGGGGACCTTTTGGGTTGCTGACAGGAGACTCAACAGAAGACACTGGGGCTCGGGATTGCAAGGGATCCCAAAGAGAGACCACAGAGCTGGTCTTCGAGGGAGTAGACCTGGAGTTGGGAGTTCGAGGTCTAGGAAAATGAGGTTTGCCACTTAACCAGGCACCAGGAGACTGAAATGGCTGACCAGGCAAACGATTTTGAGGGCTGCTCTGAAGAGGTCTTCCAGCAACTTGGAGAGGCCGGGGTATGGGAACAGGGGGGGTTTGGGGACAGATTTCCCAGTGGGGTTGCTGAGTAGGAACTGCTAAAGCAGTTGGCATAGGAAGGTTGCCTGCAGCACCAGGTTTCATGCAGGGCCATGGAGTCCTACAGTGGGAAACAGGCTCTAGAGGCTCATCCAGGGCTGACATGACACCTGTTTTGTGGGTGGCAGACATGGGCCCCTGCTGGCAAGATCCACTCAGATCAGCTACCCGGGCCTTTTTAGCCAAGATTGTGTCCTCCTGGTGCTGGGCAGGCGAGATTTGTGTGGCCTCACTGCTAACACCAAGTTCCAGCTCCATGCCAGCTGCCTCCAGCTCCATGCTTGCCAGGACTTTATCAAATTCGTCTTGTTCAGGCCCCTCAAAACCACCCAATCCCTGCTGTTGGCTCTCAAAGGTGAGGAGGGGGCGGGAGGCTGAGGACTGGGGTCTTGCTGACTCTTGGAGCACTTCTGGCAGCGTCATTCTTTTCTGATTGCCAGTCCAGCTGCTGGAAGCTGAGGCAGGGCTTATGGGGACAGTTTCTGTAGAAGGTGGATCTCTGATGGCTCTGGGCATGCTGGAGGTTGGGAGGCAGAGTCCCAGGGTTGGCAATCTCAAAGCCTCTGAAGAAGCAGTGGGATGTAATGGTAGTCTCGTTGAGGACTGCCCCTGCACAGTCTCCTGTGGCTTGGAAGAAACAGGTCGTAGGCACCCAGCATTCACAGGTAGTGAGCCAGCAAATTGGTTCTCTGCATCCTCCACAGCAGATAAGAAATCCTACAAAGAAGCAGAGACAGTAGATCTTTGCATCTGGAAATTTTTACTTTTATTAATGTTTTGGAAAATTTTTTTAAAAAGCTCACTTTTGGGGCTGGGGATGTGGCTCAAGCGGTAGCGCGCTCGCCTGGCATGCGTGCGGCCCGGGTTCGATCCCCAGCACCACATACCAACAAAGATGTTGTGTCCGCCGAGAACTAAGAAATAAAAAATGTTGGAAATTCTCTCTCTCTCTCCCTCCTCTCCTCTCACTCTCTCTTTAAAAAAAAAAAAAAATAAAAAATAAAAAAATAAAAAGCTCACTTTTACTGTGCAGGCATGTAGTACATATGTGTGTGTGCTTGCAAGTGGGAAAACAAGGTGTAAAAGACAACAGGGATGTCTCTCACCAATTGCTTATAACCTTGCCCATGAGCCTACCACCAGGCTTCTATCAGAAACATTCTAAGGCTAAGTCTGCAAGTAGTTTCTGTCTTTCTTCAATCTCTAGATTAGGTGCAGAAAAGCAGAAACAAATGTCCCAGAGAACTAAGGAGTCAAAGGATTCATCCAAGGACATGCACCTTTCTCAAGAAATCTAGCTTTCTGGTGTCCAATCAATGCAATAGGGAGCTATACACACACACACACACACACACACACACACACACACACACACACACACACACATACACCCCACATCAGTCTTCAGTAAGCCAGAGAACCCCTGGATCCAGCAAAATAGGTGGAAGTTAAATATAGCTTTTCAGGCAAGTTAAATTAAGTATGGATTCCAGTTGGGAAGCAAGGTGAGATTGACACCTTCAAGAGCAACAGACCTGTTCTGAGGGTGTTTTTGAGTCAGAACTGCTGATTTAACTGACAGAAAGGTCCCCTCCACCTACACCCCTGCTGCCACACTGTATTGTCTGGGCTAAAGAAAGGTAAAAAACTTTTTTTTTTTTTTTTTTTTACCTGCTTTGTATATTATCAAGAGTCCCATACTCTAGCAGGAATACTTTAGGATTTAGCAATAATAATAATATTGATTAGAATTATAGAGGTAATAAAACCCCAACGACCTGGATATTGATGGATTCCTTTTTTCCCAACTCACTCTCAAATATGTTATGTGTCTTAGGAAGAGGGAAAGGGACTGGTCTGCCATTTTCAAGGAACAGAAACTTGAACAGTCCCTTAATTCCATTACCTGTTAAGACCCAAGAGGGTCACTTTAAGAGTCACCTTTTCAGCCTGTAATCACACATCTCCAAAGCTGAAAGACAAGGACTCATCTCCTTGACAAAGCTGGTAATTTTTAATTATTTGTAAAAACAAAAATTAAGTTCCAGGGCTGGGGATATAGCTCAGTTGGTAGAGTGCTTGCCTCACATGCACAAGGCCCTGGGTTCAATCCCCAGCATCATACACACACACACACACACACACACACACGCAAAAAAAAAAAAAATTAAGTCCCCCATGTAATAACAAAAACTAATATTTTCAACCTCACTGGTTCTAGGTACCATGTATGTATTTTACTACAATTTTCCCAGATGGACACAGTGGTGCAGAATTTACCACCATACCAGGGACAAGTTAGACATCTGAACATAATGGAATTTGGGGGCAAAGCACTGGGAGACAAAAAGTAGTTTTTATTGGTGTTAAGGGTGTGCATCAGCAGTAGAGGCATGCTGAGTAGGCACAAGGCTCTGGGTTTGATTCTAAACACCCCCCACAAAAAAAGGTAATTATTGAATGGCTTGTCTTTGGTAAAATAGAAAAATTCTATTCTGTAAATGTATTTTAGTAGGTTCCATGTCCATTAGATTGGTATCAAAAGGCTGAGTCCTCATCCTGGCTATCTGTGCTATATTGTCAGGCAGGCAAGTTAAACTTACCTCTTTGGGCTTTATTCATTTAAATCCTCCTCTTTCTAAAAAGGATCAGAGGTGGTAATTTCCAGCCTCCTGGATGAGGTTATATCCATTGGTTCTAAATATGAAGAGAGCTACAGAGACCATTAATTCAGAGGTCTCTGGCTATACTTCAGAAACACCCCTGCCAGCACCAGAAATTCTGACTTAATTGGCATGTGGTAGGGCCTAGATAAAGGTGATTTTAATACCCTGGATTTAGATCTAGTCGAATTCCTCACCTTCAGGAGAATGAGTGGGAAGGGAATAAGATCTGAGGCAGAAGAATGCCCCTTATATTGTAGAACAGAAAGCGGAAGCAATTTGCCCTGGTTCACATGGCCAGCTGGTGATCACAAACCAAAAGCCATCCAGTAACTGTACTGTCTCCTACACTATTTATTCATGCTCTCCAAAAACCTTCTTCCCGGGCTGGGGATGTGGCTCAAGCGGTAGCGCGCTCGCCTGGCATGCGTGCGGCCCGGGTTCGATCCTCAGCACCACATACCAACAAAGATGTTGTGTCCGCCGAGAGCTAAAAAATAAATATTAAAAATTCTCTCTCTCTATCTCTCTCTCTCTCTCTCCTCTCTCACTCTCTCTTTAAAAAAAAAAAAAAAAAACCTTCTTCCCACCTCCAGTATGCTATCATGAAAGTGATTTAAATCATCTACAGAACAGAGCTTCTGAGAAAAGGCCCTAATAACTTAGAGATAGGACAATTAAGCAACTGATCTCTGTTTTTTTTGTTTGTTGCTAAGACAGTTAAGTAGGTTGTTTTCATTTCTTATCATTTCAATGTCTCTCATAGACAAAAAAGATATACATATCAATGGAAAGGAGGCTGCAGCAGGCTGCTCCAAAATGTTCTGGACCTGGATGTTTATATCCTTTGCCATCTCTGATTACCAACACTTCCTTACCTCATCTTCAAACTCCTCTTCCACAGTAAACAGCTTCCGCAAACTGCATGCCTGAAAGGAAAACAAAGCAATTGAGGCTGGAGGAGAAATGCCATTTGCAAGTACATTCTGTCTTCATTGCTTCTTCGCAACTCTGACAAGACCATCAGGTGTACTTTTTTTTTTTTTTTTTTTTTTGCTAGTGCTGGGGGAGGAATAAGGGATGAGGAGAGAAAAAATGGGATTCAGTTGAAGATTTAAATGACTTAAAAATCTTTTCTTGTAATAGAATCCACTTAGATCCATGTGTGTTAGTCCTTGAAAGAGGGGCAAAGAGAAGGCTGCCAAGGGGAGCGAAAGCAGTTCTTCAGAATCAGCCCTGTGCTGTGATGGGGGTGCAGCTCAGTGGGAGAGTGCTTGTCTGGTATGCCTGAGGCCCTGGGTTCATCCCTAGTACAACACTGTGGGAAGTGAGGATCAGGACTGTGTACACAGACCTGAGGATTTTGCAACAACCCCAAAGTCTGTCAAACATAAGAATCTACCATAAATCCAAATATGCTGGGCATAATGGTCTGGTGTCGGAGACTCAAGCCAAGAATTTTCTTCCACCTAATCCAGAGCCCAAAAGCTAGGCTCCCAGAAGTGTGGGGTGCCCTCGTCCATGGTTCCTACTTTCTAGCCAGCAGGGATGCTGTGGCTAGCTCCAGATGAGTGTCAAGCCAGGGGTGGTGCCAGATCCCAGATGCCAGAGAGCTATGCTGATCTCGCCTTCCCTGGGATCAAAGGTCAGAGTGCAGGGAGGGCGAAAGCAGAGAGGGGAGGGATGGATCCAAGAGATAGGCGTTTGAGAGCACTGGGAAGGATGAACAATTCTCCAAAAAGAGAAGGAAGGCAACAGGAGGGAAACAAGACCAGCGTGGAGCAGGGGAATGTGCTTTCCCAGGGATTCCAGCGCGTCCGGCCAAACCCAAACTAGAACCCTGAGTCCCACCCAGACCCAGGCCCTGCATCCCCTGCGGCTGAGGACCTGGAACCACCAGGTTCCGGGAGCTGGGACCGCAGCTGGAGGACCCCTAGCGTGGGCGCGGCATTACCATGGCTCCAGCGGGTGGGCTCCGGAGGGTGGATCGGCCTAGCCCACCCAGACTCGGTGGGGGGGGGGGTCGCCTCGGCCTCAACCCAGATGGAAGTGGAGGACGCTGGGCGATGATACCGGAGTACAGGAATAGAGGGAAGCGTCTTTCCAACTACCGAGCAGGCTGAGGAAGGGTCTCAAGGAGGCTGGGGGCCGAGGCTCCCGGACGCATTCAAAGCCGCCGCCACACCAGCGTCTCCGCCCTCTTAAAGGGACGGGTCTGTTTCTATCCCGCCGACATAAAGGCCTTCACCCTCTCGCCCTTCCGCCTCAGCCTTAAAGGGGAAATGAATGAGCTCTCGGTCGCCCCCCTGCGGCTCCTCGGACCTAGTAGGCTGGTTCAACTAGTTTAGGGGAGACCAAGCAAGATTGAAGAATTTTGGGTCCTTGAAGCCCAGTCCTGCTCCCGCACCTCTGTGTTTAAGCACACTAGGAACTGGGTATGGAAGCGTGACTTCCTCACCAGTACCCACCCGGTCGGTTCGTGTCTTTGTGCATCTGTCCATCCGTCGATGCATGCCACACATGTTATCCAGCCGATGCTCTTGATCTGGTTCTTTTTATTCTTCATGTTTCAGATTAGATTCAGATCTTCCCTGTCATCTTCTCTCTCAAGTAACATCCCTTTCCCCATCACAACACTTTATTTACTTCTCAGCACTTTTCATGATTTATGTTTGTTATGGTTAATATCTTTATTCATATCTTCCTAACTAGAATAAATAGGCTTCCTGAGGGTGGGGACCGACCTTGTTTACCTTATCCAGCTTTGTATCCCCAAACACCCAGCTTGGTGCTCAATAGTTATTGAATGAATGACATGACTACTGTGCAATGGGACAGTGCTGACACTGGGGATAGAGAAATCAAGTTCATAACTAGACAGGGAGACAAAGGCCAACTCTCTTTGGTTATTGACCCTCGGTCCTACCTCATTTTCCTTTCTTGCTTATCACTACAGCAGCAGCTTGTGCCACATAGTTTTGAAGACAACAAGCAGGAGGAAGGTAGGCAACTCCAATGATCTGATTGGAGCCATCCTGGAATCTTCCCCAGGGTGGCCTGGTCTGACCTTACATCAGGATGGCCTGTGGCTTCCATCAGAGCTGTGAGTGGTCCAGTTTACCTGTCTTACATAGGACAACAGGAAAGGAAACCTCAACTGCCAACTCTCCTCTAAGTTAGGGATTCTCTTAAGGCCATTCTGCTTCCCTTGAGGTTTCTAAGCCGGGAGACAAAACCCCAACCCTCCCAGGCTTCTTCTTTTCACAGGAATACCAAGAACAGCTCATCCTGCCCAGCTGTGGATCATCCTAGAGATCCAGTTACAAGGTTCTCGGAGATCTGGGCTGTCTCCTTTAGAGGGATCACAGAGCACAAAAGATCAAGAAGAATAACAAAAGCTTCTGTATGTACCATAATTTATAGCTTACAATTTAACATTTGTTCGTTTTGTCTTCATAAAGATTATATGAAGGGCAAAGGACAGGTATTTACAGATTGGGAAAATGAGGACCAGAGGGGAAAAGGGCTTCATCAAGGTCAGGCAATGACTTAATTACTTTTTTTTTTTTTGATGACTTAATTACTTAATAGTGGATCATCTGCTTAGAAATCTTTCCTTTCTTTTTGGTACCATGGATTGAACCCAGGTGTGATTAACCACTGAGACACATTCCTAGCCCCTTTTTGTTTTATTTTTGAGACAGAGTCTTGCTGAGTTACTTAGTTGCTGAAGCTGGCTTTGAACTTGCAATCCTCCTGCCTCAGCCTCCTGAGCTGCTGGCATTACAGGTGTGTGCCGTCATGCCCAGCTTCTGCTTAGGAATGTGTTTTCCTCCATTACCTTTCTTTTTGCTGTTGCTGTTGTTTACAATACTGGAGATTGAATCCAGGAGTGCTCTACCACTGATCTACATCCCTAGCCTGTTGTATTTTTAAGATTTATTTTTAGTTGTCAATGGACCTTTATTTTTATTTATTTATATGTGGTGCTGAAAATCAAACCCAGGGCCTCACACATGCTAGGCAAGTGCTCTATCACTGAACCACATCATCCCTTTTTAATTTCTTAAGACAGCAATTTAGCCAAGATTAGCCTCAAACTTGTGATCCTCTTGTCTCAGCCTCCTGAGTGGCTGAGATTACAAGCATGGCACAGGTTACTCTGCCCAGCTTGTTTTATTTTTTTAAGATGGGTGTTGTGTTGCAGGCTAGTCTCAAACTCATGCTCTGGAGTGATATTCCTGCCTTGGCCTCCCAAGTATCTGTGACTATAGATGTGTGGCTCCTCCTCTTCCCT